GCCAGGCATGGGCTAGGGCCAAAGAGGGGGCACGGAGACAGGCGGGCCCGTTTTTCAGACGCCCTGGAGGGCACGGTTCAGAATCCAGCGGAAGCGAGCCTGGCTTGGGGCGATTCCCGGGCCGGGCTCGGCCGGCGGGTCCCTCCGCCCGGACACCCCCCCCCCCGCCACCGCCCAGGGGCTCCTCTCTTCGGCTAAGGCAGCTTCCTGCCACGGGCCGTCGCCGGGGACGGCGAGCTCCTGTCTTCAAGCCCAGGTTAAAGCCTAGGGACTTCGAACTTAACTTTCAGCACATCTGCAAAGGGCCAGCGCCCTCGGGGACAGTGACAATCCCTCCCCCCCGACCCCGGCCCCGCAGCCCGGACCCTAGATTACCCCAAGCGCCCGCCGCGCTTCCTGCCGCCCCCAGGGCCGCGGGCTCCGGCGCCCGGCCCTTCCCCGGCTCCCAGCGCTCCCCCATGCCAGCCCGGCGCTCCGATGGTACGTCCCGGCCCGCCCAGGTGGTAGCGCCCGCGCCAGCCTACCGTAATTCCCCTACGTCCCGCGCCCACCGCAGGCGCTGCGCCGACTGAGCCCGCCCCGCGGCTCCTGTCCCCCTGGCTCTGCGCGCCCCCCCACCCCCCGGAGGCTTTGGCAGCCTTGGCCAGAGCCCCAGCCACAGGGGAAGAGACCCATGTCCCTAAGGTGAGTCTCACGGGGAAGCTGGGGACGAGACGGGGCTGGGATCAGGACGGCTGTGGGTCCAGGCTCCAAGACTGCCCCCGAATTAGTGGACAGAACCGGGAGTAGAGGGTCCCACGCAGTCCTAGGGCTGCAGGCGGGTATCGATGGGCTCCCCTGGCTCTGCCTCCATTTACTTGAGGGTGGAATGGGCTCCGCCCCAGTGACTCTAGGGTCGGGTTGGCTCGGCGCTATGCCCGTGAGGAGCCTATGGGGACCCAGCCCCGGCGTGAGGATTGTTGGTGGGGCCAGAAGATCCAGGAGGGGCCTTGGCGCCGGGTGGCTGGGAGGCTCCGGCGACCCTGTCTGAGCTGGGCGTCCGGGAGTTGGTCCCAGGCGGAAAGTAGTCTCGAGGCCGGCAGGGGGCGCGCGAGTCTGTGCCTCAGGCAGTCTGGGCCGGCCAGGACCCGCTTGGGGGAGGGGAGAGGACCCATGAACCTGGAGAGGCCTGGGCTTGACTTGATCAAAGACGCGGAAACGGAGGCCAAGGGGGCCCTGGGTCCTACAAATTCCGAAGGAACCTTCCCCAGGCTTGCGGGGTGCTAGGAGGATTTTACTCTTCTTCTGTCCCTTCGCCAGGGTCCAGGCACACATTAGGGCCCAGAGGCCATCCCTAGGTAAAATATTCTAGAGAACTGCCCAGTGCCTCCTTTGCACAGATGGATAAGGACAGGGGTAGTGGGGCCCAGAAGCAGGTCTTCTGTAGCCCAGGCATGCGCCACCTCCCTCATCCCCTCCCAAGGAACCTTCTATACTACGCTGGGGAGAGAAGTGTCGGGATCTTGGACTCCAGGATCTGGCACCTTCGTGCGGGGACTAGGGCAGGAGGTGAAGTCCACTGACCACAGCCTTTACCTCTCTCCTTAGCACTGGGTTCCAGCTGGACCGCGCCCAGGGGTGGTAGGGGCCTTGCTGACATCTGGGGCCCGTGTAGTTAGCCTGGCCTGCAGAGAGGTTCTCTATACCCCTGCCATCTGCCCAGCACAGGGCAGGGCCTTAAGGCAGGCTCTGCCTCCACGTGGGCCCCAGAATCCAAGGGAGTGAGGCCCAGCCCTGGGGATAGGGAGGGGCTAGGTGGGCTGTTTGGAGCTAGGAGAGCAGCCTGGCAGAGCTGGCCCCACCCTGGCCAACCTGCTCAAACCTGCAGCCTCCGCCTCTGGATTTCCAAGGTGCCAGATGGAGCCTTGGGGCCAGTAGGCTCCCAGGGGAGCTTAGCCTGGATGGGGAGCTTCTGGGCAGTCATGTCCCTCTAGCCAAGGTGCTCCAGGCTGGTCAGCTGTGAGCAGAACATGGACCTGGACCCAGACCTGTGGTCTCTCTTCCTGGACGAGGAATTCCTCTGTCCCACCAAAGACCAGGCCGGGTCCCCAACCTGTTGTAGGGGCCCGACCGCCCACAGTCGTCTGCTTTTCTGGGTTTGGGGAGATGGTGCTAGGGGGGAATGGATGGGGGCTCCTGCCTTGGAGACTCTATTATTCATCAGCCCCAGCATCTGGTTTCTGGGTATCAGTTTCAACAAGCCAGTCCTGACTCATGAGCCTGGAGCTGAGGCTGGGCTGAAGAGGGGCCCCTTCCCCAGGGAGCCAGGCGTTGGGACCTCTGTCCTGCACATGGGCTATTTCCGCTCCCTTCCATAGAAGAGGTGGGGGGATCCAGGAGACTGCTGAGGCCTTCTCCCTCCCCTGGTGCAAGGGCTAGGGGCTCCTTTCTTCCCCATGCTCTGCAGTCCTTGACCCTGCACTCTTGGCCCTGGGGCATTAGGGCCCTGGTCCTCTAAGGAGCAGCCCTCTGCCTTGGCTGAAGGATGCAGACAGCGGCATGACTTGGGGATGGCCAGGGCCTGGTCACTCAGGTGACCTCTGGTGACCTGCCTGGTCCAGCCCCCATGGTTTCTGTTTCATGTGACCTGATAAACCCAGGCTGGCCTGGGATCCCCCTAAACTGGCTTTGGGATCTGCTCTGTCCCCAGGGGGGTGGACCTCAAGGCTCTGCTGTCAAAGCACCACTTAGCTGGTCTTCATGCCCCCACCTGTACCTGAGGCACACGGGTACTGGTCCGAAGCCCAGGCATCCGTCTTCCCACTTGTCAGCTGGTAATTTTGGGGCAAGCCACTTAACTTTCCCAAGCCTCAGCTTCTTCATCTGGTAAGTGGAGATGGTAACAGTATCTCTTCCTTAGGGTCTTTGAGAGAATGAACAGGATTTGCTGCCCCAAACCCCTGGCACAGGCCTGGCACTTGGGAGTGCTCAGCTGTCAGCCTGTGGGGCAGCGAGGACAGAGTTCTGTGGTAGCACCTGCCCCGGCCAGGCCAGCAGGCCCAAGGTCACGGATACTAGGAGGCAGAAGAGAACCTGTGGTCAGACGGTTGGGAAGGCTTTGTTGACCATCGGGAGCAGGAAGGGACATCCAGGCCAAGACCTTCCCTGCCCTCGTGGCCTTCTCTGGCATGAAGACCCTTCCTCTGCCTTCATCCATCCGTTCTCATCTAGTGTACACTGAGCAGCTGCCGTGGCCACAGAGCTGTTCTCCGTGTGGAGGACACAGTGTGGGCCAGACAGCCAAGGCCCCTAGCCTCTGGAGAGGACATCCTAGCAGGGAGGAGTGATAATCAAGAAGTGAACAAAGAAGTAAAACAATTTCAAGTAGTTTTAGACGCTTGGGAGGAAATTCAATTTAAGAGGATTGAGAATGAGGGATGCTAGGGGCTACTTCTTTTGAGAGGAGGTAAATGCCTTGTTGACGAGGTGGCATTGAAGTGGGGGTCCAGTGCCAGCCCTTGCAAGATCAGCGGCACGTGGTGTTTTAGTCCGAGAACACAGAGGTGCAGGGGCTGAGTTTGGTGAGTCATAGCCAGGAAGGCAAGGCCAGCTTGGAGACCACCATGAGGGACCTTGCAGGAGGGGAGGTAGGAGCCAGGCATGGTGGGATTTTATTCTAAGCCACTGGAGGGTTTCAAGTGGGGAGTGACATGATTGGGTTTTAGTTTTCAGAAGATCTGCCTGTGGTGTGGCCAGTGGATGGCTTGGGCTTTGGGAGTGGAGGCGGCCCCCGAAACCTCTGGGCTGGCGTAAACGGCTTGCTGCCTCCTCAGAGCTGTCTTCGGAGACCCTTCCTTCTTTCCCCACTGCACCAGGAGGAGCAGCTGTCTAAGGGATGGGTGAGCTGACGACATCATGCCCCCCACCCCCCCCGCAGCCCCATAGTTACTGAGATGGGGTACCAAGGAGGCCATTCCAGAACACCAGAGTCAGAAGTCTGGGTTTCAGTCCTGCCTGTGGCCTTTTATGTCACTTTGCCCCCCAGAAAGGAATGGGGATAGTAGCGCCCGCCCCCACCTCTTGGGAATGAGTGTAAAAGCTCTTTGACAAGCTACAGCGAGGACCCCACCACCACTCCCCAAGCCTCCCCTTTCGGGCTTCGATGAGCGCCCCCCGGCGGTGGGACAGGAGGAAGGGACCCAGCCTTGGAGCAGCAGAGACTTCGGAATCTGGGGGAAAGGCGAGTTGGGCTTCGGGGTTTTCCTGACGCTCCTTCTCACCCAACTCCTGGGGGCTCCCAAAGGACTACCCTCTCCGCCCTTTCCACCAACGTGCCTGCGTATCGCCCGCGGCCTCCACCTGTCGTCACCTGGCGCCCTCCGTTCCTCGACCTCCACCGCTGGCCTGGGCAGTGGGAGCAGGGTCCCCAGGGCTCAGACTCTGAGGCGGGGGTCTCCAGGCCTGTGGGCGGGCGCTAGGGTGACACTCAGGTGGGCCTCTGAGCGCTGGAGGGGCGGTCCGGGCGGTTGGAGGTCAGAGCAGACAGGTGTCCCTGGGACAGGACGCAGAGCAGGGTCCGAGGATCTGGATGGGAATGTGCCCCAGTCCTGGTCCTACCCCCGCCTCCCCTCTTCTGCCTCCAGCGTTCAGGGAGCTCCCTTGGGAGCGGGAGAAGGGGTCCGGGGCCTGAGGCTCAGAGGCGGGGTCTCCGGGACTGCAGGGAGGGGCCTTTGCGCCCCAGACGTTGGCGTTGGGGGTGGGGTGGAGGGGAGGGCAGAGCCCGGCGCCCGAGGGGCTGGGCCGGGGTCTGGGTTCCGCAGTCGAGGGGACCGAGGGGTGTTGCAGGGAGCTCCCCGGGGGCGGGGCTGGGGGCGCCACGGAGCCGCCCCGAGGTGGCGCGGGCGGGGGCCCCGGGGTCCCGGCGCGCTCGGCCGGGGGCGGGCGCGGCCGCACAATGGCAGGAAGCGGAGCCCCGCGCTTTGTCCGGCGGGTGGCGCAGACCGCCGCTTCCTCCGGCCGCCATGGGGACGGGCCCCGGCGTCTCCGGGCGCCGCGCGGCCTCCAGGCCGGGCCCGGGGCTGTCCTGCCGGGCGGGGGGTCGCGCCCGCGACCGTGAAGTCCAGGTACGAGGGGCGGGGGGCGGGGGGGAGGCGCGCCAGTGCCGGCCCCGCGGTATGCTTCCCCATCCCGCGACCGAGGGGGCTGGGCGGCGACGGTGGCCCGCCAGCCCTTAGCCTTTTGTGTCTGGGGCTACCTCCGGACACACCTGTGGGTCCCAGGCCCTGCGCTGGGGCCCCCTCTCCCTTTCCTTCCTCTGTCCGGGCCCTGCCCACAACCCGCTGCTCCGGCCTCTGGCCCCAGCCCTACTGTGAGTGGGGAATTCTGACTTCGGGTGCCGCATCCCCATGGGGTGCAGCCTTGACTGTGTTCCCTAAAAGACCCCCTCTGTTATTTGTAAAGTTGGGGTCCATTCGCTGCCTTTGGGTGATCTCGCTGTTCCATCCGGGGGGCTCTCCTCTCTTTGGGTTGAGCTCTGGAAACTTTTCCCCTGGACCCTGCTGGTCCTCCCCCACTGGCAGAGGCCCTCAGAGGGTGGCCATGGTATGCAAAAAGGTGGAGAGTAGTAGGCACCTTCGTCTGAGAGAAGGACCCAGAATCTGGCTTTGGGAAGGGACTGCCTTGCTTTAGACCCTCGCTCCTGAAGGGAGCTGTGGAGACCCTGCAGTCTGGGGATGGAGGTATGAGAAGGGGTGGGGGGAGTATACTCAGAGCAAGGGGGCTGTGCCCACCCAGGCCTGAGCCTCCCAGATAGGCTTGTGGTTCTTGGGGTGGGGGTGGGGGTTCCTGGAAGTTCATTGTCAACAGACCTGTTGAGTTAAGTGAAGAAACACCTACCTGGTTCAGATCCTGGGCTGACTCTCACATGCCCCTGCTGTCGGTGAGCGTGGGGGCTGCTGGGAGGTTGGAAGCAGAGGAGGTCAGCCACAGGCCTGGCACAGGCTCCCATCATCATCATCATCATCATCATCATCATCCTCATCCTCCTCATCATCATCATCCTCATCATTAGTAGTAACAATATTATATTAGTAGTAATAGGAGGAGCTGTGGTGGTAGTCGCCAGAGCCCACCACAGTGCTGGGAAATGAATGTCCCCGAGTGTCTCAAGGGAGACCAGTACCTTCACAGGGTGGGCACATAGTAGGTGCTCAATAAATATTTGTTGAATGCTGAATCTGCTATCAGGAGTGAATCTTTGTGTAAAAATCTGTTGTCTGTATGGTGGATTGGTTTAAAAATAGGATTGTGGCAGAGAACCAGGGACTTGGGCTGGAAGGGTCCCAGAGGCCCTCTGCAGGACCCTTCCAACCAGCATGGCTCCTGCATGTCACCCCCGCCCCCGTGCGACTAGGGCCTGGGTGACCCGAAGGGCGGCAGTCCCACCACTCTTGCCAAACTTGGCACCAGCAAAATGAAGCTGTCTGGGAAATCACAAGAGGCCTGGAAGGGGTGGGAGGGGGTGCCTGTAACCAGGCTGGCTGCAGAGGTGGGGGATGGCTGCCTAGCTGGCAGACTGTGGGGCTCCTGGGAAGAAGGGGCTGAAATTCAGTGGGCACCTTCCTCAGGTTCATTGTCAAGAGGAGATGCTTGCAGCTTGGAGGGGTTGGGGGCAGTTCTAGAATCTGCAAAGCCAGTGCTGACTTCTACCAGCAGTGCCCCGGGGACGCCACAGTGCAGGCAGGCAGAACTGTGGCCGAGGATAGCAGTTTTCACACTGTTTAGGAGTAGATTAAGTGAGGATAGAAACAGCGCCCCTCACCCCCTGCCCAAAGCCCCAAGAACACACTGGAAGACCATTTGAGGAGGGTGTGGAAGTGGGGAGCACCTGGCGCTCAGGCTGCCACCCGGCATCTGGGCCATTATGTCCACTGCCACCTGCCCAGGGCCCAGTCTGCCCCCTGCCTGCTGTCATTTCTATGCCCATGTTTTTGGGGGGGTTTTGTGGATTTTTTTTCCATCTGTTGGAGGATTAGGGGGACACAGGAGCCCAAACAGTGAGCATCAAACTATGATTGCTTCCTTCTTGTCTCTATAGCCCCCGCCCCCCCTCCCCGGGCTGCCCCGAGGCCAGCCTCCCCTGCTCCTCTCTCCCTTCTCAGCTTCCCGTGAATGTGCTGGAAATCTAGGAGCTGGAGCTACAAAGCACTGGGTTCGGGTCCTGGCTGCACTGGCTGTGTGACCTTCAACAAGTTACTTGAAACCTCCCTGAGTCTGTCTCTCTTTCCTCTTCTATAAAATAGGGGCGGTCACAGCTCTTTCCTCCTGGGGCGAGGGGCCCTCAGCACAGCCCCCAGGCACACAGTGATCAGGTTATAAATCAAAATCAGACTTTTTCAGCCGCCTTCCTCTTCCTCCCTTTGACTGCTTCCTCTGCTCTCTCTAGGCTGTCCGTCCTCACCCTGTCTGTCACCTTGAAAATCTCTCATTGGGCTCTCCCCAGCCCAAAACTCTCCAGCGACCCTCCATCGCCCTAATTAATGAATGAAACAAGTATGCTCTGAGCTGCTAGGACTGGAGATGGGGCGGTGAGTGGGACAGACAGGGTGCCGAGGGGGCGGGGGTGTGAAGGGGCAGTGGGTGACTTTAGAGTAAAGTTCTGTCATTTCTGTGTCTGGGGAAGAGCATTCCAGGCCGAGGGAGCAGCAGATGCTGGGGTTCGGAAGCAGCATGTTGGGGACACAGGGGTGGCGGGTGGCGCGGAGTGAGCCTAGATGGCGGGACAGGGCAGGAGGCCCCCCCCACGGTCACCACACGGACTCTGGCTTTTCCTGGAGTGAGACGGGAAGCCGTTGAGCATAGTGAGCAGGGGCCACTCTGGCTGCTCATGGAGAGCAAATGATTGCAGGGCAAGGGTGGAAACAGGTAGACCAGTTTTGAGGTCATTGTTGTGATGGGCTGAGAGGTGACCGCTACGGAGTCCAGGGGGCAGCAGTGGGCCAGTAGGCATGGCCGGGTTGAAGCTACACATATTGAAGGGAGGGCCACCAGCACTTTCCCACTGGCTGGGGGTGTAACAGAAAGATCAAAGGTGACCCCAAGGATTTTGACCTAATGTATCAGTTTCCCCGGGGGCTGCCGTAACACGGAGCACCCACCGAGTGGATGAAAGCTTATTCTCACACATATGGAGACCCACACAATGTAGTGGCAGCTTCGCTCATCCACACGTGTCCCTGTCTTTGTCCCTCCTCGTCTTGTAAGGACCCCGGTCGTAGGATTGCTACACGCTCTACACCGTTACAGACCCCAGCATGAGCTCATCTTCACTAATTGCATCTGCAATGACCCTATTTCCAAATAAGGTCACTTTCTGAGTTCCTGGGGGTGAGGATGTGACCTGTCTTTTTGGGGGGCCGCCGCTTACCCCCATGCCCCCACACAATGGCAAGGCACTGCCATTGACTGAAGTTCGGGGAGCCGCATGGGGCGTTGAGCAGCGCATGTGTGGACATTTGCGATCTGAGGTGCTCCTTAGGATCCAAGGGGGGAATTGAGAAGGTTGGTCTGGTGTCCTGGGTGAGGACCTCCCTGAAAGTTTACCTCTGGGAGCCCTCAGCATGTAGAGTCGTGTGACTAGCTGAGTCACCAGAGGAGGGATGCAGATCATCGTGAGCAGGGGTGAGCAGGGGTGAGCAGGGGTGAGCAGGGGTAAGCAGGGGTAAGCAGGGGCCGCTGGTGGGGAGATGAACAGGAAGGCAGGAAGTGGGCAAGGGGAGCTGAGAACTGCAGGGGAAACAGCAGAGCATGGGGTTTGGGGGCCTACAGAGGATGAGATGGTGTGAAAGAGACCGCCTGTGTCAAGGGCTGGGTCCTGTGGGTGGACTTAGAAGCTTGGCAGTCACTGGGGGCCCAAGAAGAGGGAGTTGGGGGGATGGGAAAGGAAAATGGTGGGAGAGGGTCTGAGAGGGAAGAGAAGATTTTCTAAGGTAGAAAATCTTCAGTTGCAACCATTGTAGTCATATTCGACTTAGGCAGACATCACCGGTGGATGTGAAAACCCTGGAGTGTGAGATTGCTGGGGGTCAGGGTATCTCGAAGTACCCCCCGCCCCACAGGCTACTTATTCATCCCAAAGAGAAAAAGGACCTTTACACAGTACAGGGGGTCCCCAGGTGACCCAGCAGCCGGCCTCATGGAGGAGGGTGCAGGCCACTCTGTCATGTCCCTGCCCAAATGCTTGGCCTGAATCCACCCGAGAACCTCTAGAAAGATCCCCGTGGGGGGGCTTTCTGCCAGACCGCTGGCTTGAATGCTTCAAAAACGTCGATGTCCTGAAAGGAAAAAACAAAACCCTGCGGAAAACTCATCCTTGAGGGAATAAACAGACACAACCAAATGCGTGTGCGAATCTTGAACAGGCTCCTGTATGCGAAACAAATCTATAAAGGCC